ATGATTGTGAAAAGCAGTTATTTAGTAGGTAAGGTGACAACATTAGATAAAAAAGCCGTACAAGTTGAACTCGTTACTGAGTAAAGAGTTTACAAACATCCTCTGGAATAGTAGGCATTAAAATGTGTAGACGAGGAAGCGCGGATATTACACGCTAAGAAAACTAATAAATGAACAAATAATGAAAGATAGAAGTTAGGAGACAAGAAGAGTCTTGAATCTTTGTTAATATTAGGGAGCAGGAAAGAGAGAATGTTACCAATTACCGTTTAAAGCAAATCTGGACATTCCTTGACTTCTTTGAACGCTTTTTCTTTTACCCTATCGACCTAGACTTTTTAAACTTATTTCGGCCAAAAAGTTGTAGCTACAGATACAAACAAAGCAATATTCAAGCATAAATAAAGTTCTTGGGATAGACGCCGTAATAAAGTTGGGGTGACGAACTGCCAAAAGATCACAGGAATCAGGTTTGAAACAATCGCAAAAGTGTTAAGGAGTTGCCCACTTACGTCGTAGAGTAGGATCTACCTCAGATGTGCAGACGGCTACCACCGTGGCTCTGAGGGGTATTGAGGTCTGTAGGAGGGCAAGAGTAAAGGCATTTATGCAGGCTGCCATTGTTGCAGGATGACCAACGGTGCCGGAAACCATTTGGATGCGGACGTTCAGCTGAATGCAAAAAAAAACAATAAATAATTTCAATCATATAAAACAAGCAAGCTAGAGAACTTTCAACGAGTAACACAGAAGTAAAATATTGCCAAGGTCCAAGGCCGCCCCTATACGATAATTATATCCACATGTCTCTCCATGAAGAATGGTGAATCCATTACACTATAATGAACGACTAGGAAAATTACTGCACGCTGAAGAGTCAAAATGAACTTAAAAATACCATAGGGTTTTGATTACAAATAGGTCGGAAGTGAAGAGGTACAAAACTGGTACAAACAGTTAGAAAATTTCAACCAGAAAAGGAAACTCAGAAATTGGGTTGGCCAGGCACGAGCCATTTGGAAGTTACATATTACATTATCTAAAGTACCTGTTATCGAAGTTATATATTAACAGTTCAACTGGCATTATTAAGCAACATTGCAAAAACACCTCGAGCAATTTGAAGTAAAAATTGGCACAACGGGCAATTAAAATAGACACATTCGCATACTAATGTACAGCGAAATAAATTGTACAAAGCTAACTACCATAGTTTCCTGGGAAAAGATCAAAGACAATCTGCCTTCATATCCC